TCCTCTCCCGGTCTGAGCCCCAAGCCATTCCACAGTATCTCCCCACAAGCAAGAGACTGTCTGGTTCTCACCAGCTGCTTGACTTACCTTCCAGCTCATTGGCCTTGGAAATTCAGCCAAGCAATCCATCCCTGCCTCTTTTTCCAGTTCAGATTCAGAGTCTTGGAATGTTGCATTTTGGGAAGTGGGGGGAGTACCTATTTTAACTACTTAATATATTGTACCGTTCACCTGCTGGTGTATTAAAAACAAAAGCAAAACAGAACTGTCCAGAGTGGCTTTTTTATTATCCTGAAAATGTAATTTGATCTTTGGTCTCTTTCATGCAAGTTATTCATCTATCCTTTGACATTTAACTCTTCCATCAAGGGAAGGGAAAGGAGAGGAGGGGAGGGGATTATGCATCTTTAGAATTCATCCTAAATTACTAACAATTTACTGCAAGATACTTTCTTATTTTTACTGATGGTTGAGCACTGATGGCTATTCTCTCTCTCTCTGAAATAAAAATGAAATACATAAATTATTAACTAGAAATGTGCAACCTTTGTGCTTTAGTGAAGTCAGTATATTGCATTCAGGAAATTCAATCCACCATAAAGAAATGTGCATTTAGGACAATTGTGATTCTTTTCTTCAATATTTCTAGTGTTCCAGGAAAGAAATAGGATTCCTACAAGAGTGGCAAAGATTAGCTTCAGCACTATTAAGAACAGCAAATAAACTTTTCTTTCATTTTGTGATGAACTTAAATACTTATAAAAGGTATTCTGAAAATGAAACTTTTCCAGCAGAACTTTTTAGTGTTGGGAAAATCACTGGTCATGGTGAGTAAAACTAAAAACAAATTATTGTGTGTTTTTCATTACATCACATAACCCCCAAGACTTTGTTGTCTTATGAATTCTTTTCATTTTTTTTCACAAACTAGTGTAACAACAGATACCTACATGGAAAAATGTGGAACTCTCGAAAAATACACAGGGAAGAATAAACTTAGTGTCTCCTGGCAAGATCACAATTTTTGATGTCTGGCTAGTTGGGAGAAAAAAATTCCACTGAAATCCATGTGAAATGGAATTGAATGCTTCTGTTCAGAAAAAACAGAAAGGCAGAGTTCATGTTTTATCAATATGATGAAGGATGAAGTAATGTTGATGAAGTGAAATGAGTTTTCTGTAAGCAAGAACAATTTCTTAAGGAGACTGGCTCTAGACGTTGCCACTGCATTCTACCTAAGGTGAAATTAAATATTCATTTCTGACAAACACCAAAGAGGTTTTGAGAGAAGCTGAGCATGTTTCAGTCAGATGAACGTGATTTCTCAGATGCATCACACAACCCAAAGTCATGAATGACCTTGACACCATAGGCTCAGTTCAATTAAGCTCAAACATCTGCTTCCTCATAATTAGAGAGAACAAGGGAGCAAACTGCTTTGGAAGGTAGTGGGTCTCTCCACTAATAGTCTTTAAATGGAGGGCAGGGGTGGTAATTGCCAGGCTATTCTGTAGCAACATGACTTATGGATCCTGCTTTCAACCAGGGATTGGAGTGGAAGCTCTCCTACATCCATTCCAATACTTGTGTGAAAGAAGAGGGGGAGATGCCATGCACATAATTTCAACACAATTTGCAGAGAGAGATCCACATGTATATGATATGCTGATCACATACATTATGTATGGTCTGTGAATGAAAGAGAAACTCACACATACAAGAATTCTCCACCGCACTCTGGAGTGGTCTCCTGATCATAAAAGAGAATGGAACACTTTTTGGTTGTGTAGCAGCTGCTGGAGGAATAGCTAGATCATGGCAGATGCATTGAATTGGTAGACACGAGTGATGCTCAAATGCTAAAGCAAGAATTCACAGAAGCATGACGCTAGTCCTGTGAGTGTCAGGCAAGTTAAACTAGTATTTCCCAAAGTGGGCCCCTTTCCATACCTTGCAAATTGCTTCCACAACTGAGCAGTCTTTCAAAAGTAGTTTGCAATACCACTTTGAGGCCAGCTGTCCAAAAGAAAGATAATCACCCTGCAAGATTCTTGGCAGCTCTCTATTTTATTACATTTTATCTCACTGTACTCCAAGGACCTCAGGGCAGATTGTGGCTCTCCCCGTTTTATCATCACAACAACCTTGTGTTGTAGGGGAGGTTGCTTGGATGAGCTTCATGGCTAAATGCGTTTCTTAACCAGAGCTTCTTGTACATTGAACTCAGTTTTATTCAGTATTTTGTGTGCTTTTTATAACCATGTATCATTCGCGTTGCAAGGCCTTCAGTGCAGACTCGGTTATATAGCCACTTGTATGGACAAGGAGACATAGTCCAAGTCCAGCAGAGGACTGGAGTCCAGAGATCAGCAGGAGGAAGCCAAGGCATGGGAGTTGATGTGGCTACCTGAACAGGGGGGTGCTCAGCCATGGGAGTCAAACCTGGGACAGCTCTCGCGCATGGTCTACAGGGCTCTTGGGGGCTCCCATAAATCACTTGCAGGAGGCTGGCCATGACTCCATGGAGGAAAGCAGGCTTGGCTGTGCCTTCCATGCAGCAAGGCCCAGAGGACCTCCTGCCTGAAGCCCTGAAAAGCCATAGCCGGCCACTGTCAGCAATCGTGAGGCAGGACTGAGCAGCTGCTTACGTTCCCACCCAGTTTCTCTTTAGCCTCTGACTGGCTACAGCCCCTCTTCCTGCTTCTAGCAGTGTGATGCTGTCGGGCAGAAAAGCCCAGGACATCAGCTCTTTCTCTCTGAAGTGCATCCTGGTGGCTCAGAGCATAAGATGCCACCTGAAAGTGCCAGGCACTACCTGCCAGGTAACATACAAAGACATGACCTCATGAGGATGCAGGTGACATTACTCTGAAATATTTATTCAAGATTTGTATGAGTACCAAACATAATGAAAACAGAATATTTTATTATAAAACGTATAAAATAATTAAATAGTACACTTTATATTTTGCAGGATGCAGAAGGTCCTTTTACACCTGAATTCATACTTTTTTGCAAAACTTATTTGCTCTGTTGCTTACCTGGGAAGCAAGTGATGAAATAAAAAGAAGGGAAGGTACATGTTAATAAATTAATATTTTTTACATCAAACAATAAAAACACAATTCTAGGACAAATGTTGGCAAATACCAACTGGGGAGGAAAATAGCCCCAGTTCACTGTTCAAGAAATTGAGTACTTAAAAGCTGAGATATGATTCTCACAACAATTTCTTAAAGCAATCAGAGTTTATTACTATTTCAGTGGCTGCAGAGGCAACCGCTAAACTGCCCACTGTCTCCTATTAGTGCCTGTGTGGCTACTTTTAGTTTAGAAATTTTACTTCAGCAAACAGCAGAGAGGAACTACATTGATCAAATGAAGCTGTGGTACTAGACAGATTTTTTTAAAATGTCCTTTTCAGTCATTCCCCAGAAAATTACATTACAAAGACATACTTGAGGGTTCTTTCCTCTCACCTAACTTAACAGTTTTAGCTTTCAGGATATTGTGTCCTGATTCCACTGCACTCAGAATTGCAAAACTCAACAGCACTGCAAAAATGATTAGTTGCAGCATGTACATGCTAATGAAGCCTATTCAATTGGATCAGGGGTTTTCATGCACGCACGCACAGCACACGCATGCATGCACAAACATGCACACAAAACAGTCAGCCTGGTATTGCTTGTAGTGCGCTGGAACATTGTTGCCTGGTTCTGAACTGAATCTGGACACTCTCACAAACAGCACGGATCCTAACCCTGGATCCAAAGCTCTGACCGCAGCAAGCAAAAGCTCTTCCATGTCGGCACAGAATATTACTGGTTTCCCCATTTGCAGCCCTCTGCAATCTGTCTCCAGGTGGGCAGCAGACCTTTCAGAGTAGCCTTTTTAGGCAAGGGAAGGCAACTGGGATGGTTGGGGAGAAACTGGGAACCATTCCTACATTACAAGAAGTACTCTCTGTTTCCCCAGTGGAATTACTGGATCCAAAGGACTGAATATACTGGAGCAGCAATCACCAAACTAAATCATATTATTTAAAATATTGATAATATAGGTGTGTGCAATTTCTCCTTTGGGGAAACAGCTGAGTTTTGTATTTTTTAAAAAAGAAATCATGAGTATTCGCAAACAACATACACATTTTGCAAGAACTGTGAGTTTTCAAAACCAGACATAGCATTAAAATATGGGGTGTTCATGGCAATTTGGAATACTGTCACTCCTTCGTTTCAGCATTAGTGACAAGGAGGCATGATGGCCAGTGGGTGAGTGCTATAAATTATCCCAAGTATGAAATTCTAGTTTGTTCGTGCTACACAGCAAGGCTACAAAGAAAGACCCCACAGAGTTCTGCTGGATGGGCAGCTTGAGTACTGCCTGCCTGTCATGTGGCTAGTGAGCCATGCCTGAGTTTCTGTTCAACAGAATAAAATCCCATGTGTTACAACTCTTGCTTTCCCAAGAGTGAAGCAGAGAATCACCTTCTATCTCAGCCATGCACCACAGATAGCACCATGCACCATGGACAGCATGGCCACACATCATCCCAAAAGTACTTCGTCCTTGTGTCAAGGGAATGTGCTTAACAGCCACTGAAACAGCCAAGAGACCTCTTCGCGGTTGTCATGTTCTGTGCACATGGCTGAGAAGAGCACCACGCAAAATGAGCCCTGCAATTTAAGGAACTAGCTTCTGACACCAGCAGAGGGGTTTTCCCCTCTGCCTTCAATAGCAGACACCAGACAAGGCAATTCAAAAGAAGGCTAAACATCTTCTAGTGTTCAATAATACCCTGCATGTTTGGTAAAGATCCAGACTTGTATATTCACTGTTCATCGAAAGTTGTACCTAGCAAATGTTGTTCTGCAATGTCCAGCCTTCTTCCATTGGCACATCATGAGATGCTTTGTTTTGAAAGGCCTTACAGTAAAGTTCACTGGAAGTGAGGGACACACCACTCGAGTGTCAGAAATGAAACAAAACCATTGGCATCAATTCTTCCATGTGCATGACTTGCAGCATTGCTTGCCATAAAACTTGTGGTTGCAGACACCATGCTGGGGAACCAGGTGGCACCAGCTGAAGAAGTCCACACAGGAAGGATCATCTGCAGTGGCAAGATTCCAGACAAACATATTTATTGCACAATATATCTCAAGAACATTGAAGCTGGTTGATGATGTGCATGTTTAATCATGGTTGCTCATTTGTGTACTTCTGCCAGGCTTTTCCCTCCAGAATTTCCCTCAGAACTTATGCAGTTATTCGCAAGATCCACTAATCACTCATATTCACTGATCAGTTTAATGCAGGAGTGACAAAACTTATTTTCTTTGAGTCTGCTTTACCACAGCCAAAACCAGTTGAGGTCCATATTTGAACAGTGGGTGTGGCCAGAGCCAAAACTGAGTAGATCCAAATTGCAGAGAAGCAGAAATAAAATGAATGATTTTTTGGAAAGGGCTCACCAAGGTCTACATGTGGTCCTCAGGCTAAAAGATCCTTACCCCTGGTGGGATGGTATGAACCAGCTCTCTGAATTTAATGTTTTATGTTGTGTTGTGTTTTGTCAAGTGCCACTATACTGCTGCAACTCAAAGAGCCGTAGGATGGGCCCAGGGCAGTGAGGGGACAAGGAAAGTTTATTTATGTGAAGGTCTGGAAAAAGTCTACAAAAAGAATATAAGAAATCAGGTAATGCATTTATCCCCCTGAGATTTCTGTTTGCTAACTCTGAAATATTGAACAATTTTGGATTATGGAATGAAATGATGACTAACATGTTTAAGGCAACGTGTTCATATACTGTTACCTGGTCTTTATATCCCCAAAATGATTCAAAAAATGTAGGGTCTAAAGATTCTTATAGACTAAAGATTTAAAAATGTCTCTAAATGTAGAAGCCATGAAGGAGTTTTTTAATCCTCTCTGTAAAGATTCCCAGCACAGCTCTTTCTTCCATTACTTATTAGAACTATTGACCAAATGTAACTTTTACTAGCAGATATTTAGGGATGTCCCAGTCATGCTTAGAGGCAGCCATCACAACACGTGTGGAGCAAGCCTGTGTTTGCTTTGCCAAGGCCATAACAGCAACCTCAGAGAAGAGGTGCAGCACTGCCCCCGGGAGCAGGTGGCCCAGGGCGGCACCTATCCTGCTGGTGCTCCAGCCTGCTTCCCTTCGCAACCAGGGGGCTGCAGGCAGGGGGCCAAGCCTGGCCACTGAGCTGACTGCAGGGCTGGAGGAGCACTGCCACACTCCTGTCTTGCATGGGATGCCAGGAATCCTCTCACTTTGAGGCTTGCCCATTAGATTGCCAAGTTTACTTTTATATTTTTAGTTTAATTTATGTTATGTTATGTCGCGAAGTTGTGCCTAACCCATCGCGACCCCATGGATAACATTCCTCCAGGCTCTCCTGTCCTCCACCATCCCCCGGAGTCCACCTAAGCTCACACAAACTGCTTCACTGATTCCATCTAGCCACCTAATCCTCTGCCTTCCCCTTCTCCTTTTGCCATCAATTGTTCCCAGCATTAGGCTCTTCTCCAGGGAGTCCTTCCTTCTCATTAGGTGGCCAAAGTATTTGAGTTTCATCTTCAGGATCTGGCCTTCTAAAGAGCAGTCAGGCTTGATCTCCTCTAGGACTGACCGGTTTGATTGCCTTGTGGTCCAAGGGACTCGCAGGAGTCTCCTCCAGCACCACAATTCAAAGGCCTCAATCCTTTGGCACTCAGCCTTCCTTATGGTCCAACTTGCACAGCCATACATTGCAACTGGGAAAACCATAGCCTTGACTATACGCACTTTTTTTGACAGTGTGATGCCTCTGCTTTTTAGTATGCTGTCTACATTTGCCATAGCTTTCCTCCCAAGGAGCAAGAGTCTTTGAATTTCTTGGCTGCAGTGCTACTTGTCCACTTTTCCCCAGTAGCACACTGGACAACCGACCTGAGGGGCTCATCTTCTGGTGTCATATCTTTTTGCCTTTTGGTACTATTCATGGGGTTTTCATGGCAAGGATACTGGAGTGGGTTGCATTTCCTTCTCCAGTGGATCACCTTTTGTCAGAGCTCTCTGCCATGATCTGACTGTCTTGGTTGCCCTTGCACAGCATAACTCATAGCGTCATCGTGCCACACAAGTCCCTTCACCACAGCAAGGCATGAAGGGGTTAATTTAATTACAATTCTGTATAATTTTATAAGGAAACCCAGTTATGCATGATCTATTCTATGTTTCTAGAATAATCAATGACTTAAATCTGGAAATGCATTACTGTAAGTATTATAAATTTCCCAATTTTCCCAAATTCTCCAATTTTCCTTGGGAAAAAAAGCAAGAAAGAAATGCTTTTTTCATGACTTGAATGTTTCTGGAAATTTCACATGTTGAGTATTAATGAATATTATCTCTTACACAGAAGTGTGAAAATGCAGTTTCATGAAAGCCCCCTTAAGGACTCCCCTGTTCAGCTATATCATGTACCTATAAAGAAACCTTTTCAGATCTGGTTGAATAACCAAACCTTTCGGTAATAACAGCTGTTTTTAACAATTACTTGAAAAATAAATGAACATTAAAAAAACCCCCAACAATATCATGATCCTCCTCCTTTTGGCCCATGTGGAAAGAAAGTCATGTTCTAGAGACCTCCTTCCACTTCTCCATGCTGGCTTTCCTTCTCAAATGCTGGACACAAGTTCACATCTGGTTATGTGGAACCTGCCTGCACATCCCAGCAAGCAATCCATGTTGGCTTGCTGTTCTCTCAGTGCAGAATACGCAGCATTTTCTGAGAAAGCAGCTAACATGTCCCAGGGAACAAGAAAGAACCTCCTGGGGAAATACTGTTGGAGAAGTAGAGCAGGAGACTATGTTACTGGGAATAGCTGGGTGCATGGAACAGCATACAGCAAAACTTTAGTGTGGCTGGGAAGAGGGCTGGTGAAAGGGAGGCCATCTATGTGCCTTCTATGATGAATGTTCTAAATTCTATTTATTTCTGTAGAATATCTGTTTTTGTGCAGATCTCATTTTGGTATAAAATATTCACATGACCAAATCATTCTAGTTTGGTCCGAACTGTTTTATGCTTTATAGTTTGTTCTTAGCCAAATAGTAATGAATAATGTGGATGTTTTATAAGTACACTGAGATCCTATAGGAGCATTTAAGCCCAGACATAAAGCTGGGAAAGATTTACAGTCAGGTACACCTCGTAGGCCAGGGGAAAGCCTTTTGCTTACCCTCAGAACTACTGCAGTAGTCCCTAGCAGAGGGAACGGACCTATATTTAAATATGCATTTATTCACATGCACGCACACATGGACTGCCATTCCCTTGTGCTTTCAGGTCCAGAGCTTGAAATTGATGGTACAGAAGAAACATTACTCATTTGTAAAACTCACATGTTGACATAGCGCAGTTTGCCAGCTTTTGGCCGAAGGCTGCATGATCTCTTGTGTCTTTAATAGCTCCCTGGCAAAAGGAAGCATGGCTGTTATGGCTTCCCCTTGACAGCTGTGCAGTGGCAAGAGAACTTACATGTTCTGAAGTTTTTCAAGCCATAGATCCACATAGGAACACCATACAAGGCAGAGTGCTGACGACTCAGACAATTCTCGGGCCCTCAAACTGTTTCTATCCAGTTGCAATGACAACTCTGAGATCTGTTGGTTGCTCTTCCATTTCTGGGTCAGCCACGGTATGCATGACCTTCCTTAAGTAATATTTGCTTTTCCCTTCCAAGGGAACCATGCTGACCTATAAGCTATGAGTAACAGTACCTAGTAGAGTGATGGAAAAGAGGAAAAACTGAGCAGAGGAGCAGGCCCAGCGTGTCTAGGGAAAAATATTAACTCTCCCTGAAAGGCCTGTTTCTTTCCCGCGATCTTTCCCCAGGGCCTAGCTGGGCTGGAGCTCTGCGGTGGGTAATTGAGAGTGATTGGCTTCCATACAGTTCAGCACAGCTGGCTGTGCTTGCTGGTGGAGACAGAGACTTCGAGCACAGTGAAGAGATAATTGATCTCTAGGGCCCAAAGACCCAGTTTCAATAAAATCAAAAGGACTTCCACAGCTGCAGGAGTGGGAGGGGACAAGGCTGAAGCAAAATGAAAAACAGACATTGGCTACGAAATCCAGTTAGAGGAAGAGAAGTAGAAAAATTACAGCATTGAGACAGAAGGTGCAATATTTTTTCAGGGAGAAAGATTAAGGATAGGTGAAACCAGTCCGAAGAATTCCTTAAAGCAACCCATTACTGGAGATTCAGAGGCAGTAGTATTTTGCATGGATTTTGCAGAAACAGTGAGTTCTTAGGCTCAAAACAATAATTTAGAGAGAACTAGGAAGTCAGGAACTAAAAGCCACCCTATCAGTTAATCCAGCCAGGATTCCACTGATTCTGGTAGCTTAGGACTAGGTTTTGACATTCTCCTCCATACCCCCAAATATATGGCTTTGGCAATGTTTTGTGTTCATTTGCCCACAGTTTTAGTAGAATTCCCTTGCCTGAGAATTCGAGCATTCCATTATCTTTTCTTTTTCTTTTCTGTATCAGCTCTGGGGAACAAGGGAAAATTCTGCTATACATTTGCTTTAAGAGACAGATGTTTTTACCTTTCTTCTCGGGAGCAAGGCAGAAGTTGGTATTGCAGGCTCTTGACATTGCAGGCTTCTGATGAGAGGGGCAGCCCACAGCTGGCTGACCCTGGCGAAGACACTGCACTGTCCGTGTTTGCACTCCACCACCACAGGTAACCGTACACTGACAATGGAGAGAAATAAGTGGTTTTAGGCCTATGGTCATTTCATGTTCTTTCAATGAGATCTTCTCCATGAAGGTCTCACAATGGATACTGCACACAGAGAGAGATGATGACAAGGACACTGATTCCTTTTTGTTTCATTGATTCTACCTGTGCTGTCAAACTATCTGTGAACTTCTAGAGGGTTGTGGCAGCTTATAAGGCTCAATCCCATACAGTGGACATCTACAGACACTTGTGCAATATCCAAATCAGACCCACGTTTGCCATGCATGAAGAAGTAATCTCTTTGTTTCCTGGGGGTCTGTAAGTGCTTAATGGTGCAACCATGGATGAGCCTCAAATGCCCTTTACTTCTCAACCGTAGCTACTGGGAAACGTGAGTGGGAGCATGTGATGGCCTCACAAACTTCCTGTGGGTTTTTCCTAGGCACCTGGTTGACCATTGTGAACACAGAATGCTGGACTCAGGAGACCCTTGGTGTGCTCCAGTATGGTTCTTTTTATCCCCTGCATTGAGATTGAACAAATGTCAGCATATGTGCAAAGAGGTATGTGTGGATATCTGTTTGCCAAGTTTTAATGATCCTCCCCTGCCTTTTTATGAATCACAACAAGTAAAGCATCTATCCTCATTAGCAGTAAATCCTGTAATACTTTATTTCTAAATAAATGCAGTTAGGATTGGGGAGTGAATCAAATTTTCCCCCTTGGCAGTCTTATTTCGGAGAAGATTCACTGATTCATTACTTTATACTACCTATTGTTATAGATCTCAATAAAGTTGAGGTTTTGAGGAATGGAGTGTGAAACATTCTTTCAAGTGCTCTACCATTCAGAGGTTTTCATGTGCAACCACTCAGAGCTAAACCTTAAAATCTGTTAACCCGCCCTATGCCGAGTATATATTTAAGTGCTGAAAGATAAGTGCTTAAGAATGTTGTTTGTTTATTTCTGGAGTTGTATTCCCCCAGAGTAGCTTGAACGTTTTAGGCACTGCTCGTATATTATATGCAGAGATGAGAGAGAACTGAGTTATTACAAGTGAGAGAAACTTCCTGACATTATTTTCAAGAGACTTCTGAAGCAGCAGCAATGTGCATGAATTTATCGGTGGCATCTGATTATGAAGCTTAAGCATTCAAAGTTGCATGTATGTACTACTGAATAAACACTTAGGGTGTGTGACTCACACAGTAAGCAAGGCCCAACTAGAGAGGCTTGTGTATAAGACTTTAGAGAAAAATGCAGACTTATCCAGTAATCAATCACACTATTTAAGGAATTCCAGACAGTCTCTGCAGTTCCCTAAGGACATTGTGCATAAAGATTTGTAATGGTTCAACCACAGTGCAAAGAATGACATAGAAAGGACCATGGAATGTAGCAGAACTACAAGAGCAGAAACACAGGGACTTCCATGAGTTTCCAAACAAATGAATAGGTCACAAAGATAATGCTGCTGATATTGTTCCTTCTCAATGCTTGCTCTTTCTGCAAGTGATAAACACGCCACGGCATTGGTTCAAGGAGCTTTCAGATGAAGCTTGTATTGTACAATCACCCTCCTTCAAAAACAATGTTCCATGAGGGCTCCAGACATATTTTTTTTTCACATTTGTAACCCTTCTGCATTTTCCTACTGCTTCAGTCATAATTATTTCTTATTCCCAAATATCCGTAAGTAAAATATTTGCACAATGCCCTTTGATTGGGAGCACTAGGAGTGGAACCCACTCTCAATGGACAGGAAAACAAGGAAGGAAATACCTGATGTGACTCCATAGGAAATGGAATATAGTTTCTTACTGAAATTGCCAATTTTGGAGGGGATAATAATCTGGGAGGGGGCATACAGCAAAACTGCAGCAGATGATCAGGGCTGATTTAACTCATGGTGAAAACCTTTCTGAACTCAATCATTTTAGAATGCAGGTGAGAGGAAATTGAACATCCGCACATTGGCCTGGTCATCTGCAGTGAAGATTCCCAGCTGCTTGTATGTAGGATTCCATATTCTCAGGACCTGTCTACAGTTACATTCCCCAATAATCATAAGAGCTACCATCACGGGAGTTATATGCTCATGAACAATGGCATTGGAAGAACATGAGTGCTGGGAAAGAAAATGTCTCCAAAATGGCTATTTTGGATTTCCATGTGAATGCCCTTCCTTACCTGCCCCCACGGTGAAGAATACCATCCTGACACCCTGTTGTACAAAGGCTGCAGAGGACATGCACCTATATTGCATACATCTTCTAGGTCAATGTTCGGTCTCTTAAGATTTCGACATCGTCGCTGTGGGAAAGTGATCAGTTTGCCACTGACACTCTTCTCACTGCATTGCATTTCTCTCTGCTTCACCCCTGGGCCACAGGTGGCAGAACACTGTGGACATCAGAGAATGGGAATGAAATTCACTTAAAGATATTGCATAACTGATCTCCAAATAGGAATTAAGAAGCAGGCATGGCGGCGGGGCAGGGAGGGTGGGCAGGCATGCAAATGCTCCAGTGGGTGAGAGAATGTATGTAGAATTGACTTAAGGATACTGAAAAAGTTTGATATGCTTGAACATATATTTTAAAAGTCAAATAGGGAAACAGTGACTGCCCTTTAACTTGTTAAAGAAGGGAAAATGTGCTGCTCACAAACTATTGTAATGATTTATGAATGATTTATCAACAGTAGTGAATGCAAAGATCACAACAAACAGAAGTAAAATGTGCTACATGCAAAGATTACAGTGAAAATACAGTCGTACCTATGAACTACAAAGCTGTGTGACAGTTACTTGCCAAAATTACACCATGTGAAGTAAACTGTTACTGAGCCCTATCAGAAACAGTATTATGAAAACTGTATTATACCATCAAGTGGAATACTTTTGACATACCAAAATTATAGTAGGTCCAAACTAACAGCAGTTTGAAGTGTTACTTAGCTCCATTTAAACTTTCTCCAGACCAAATCAGTTAAACATAATTATTTGAAGCTTTAAAGTATATAGCAGTACTAATATTTATAAAATATGAATATGTATTAGAAAAAATGTACTTGTCCCAAGAGAGTTCTGAAGAGCAGACCTTTGCGAACCAAGAACATAACTCAAAGTCCACATAGGAAATTTGATCCAAGGAAGAGAGAGAATATTTACAATGGAAAACGGTGAGCTTCACCATTGAGTAAAACAAAATACTGATGAAAAATTGACTCAAACTGTTTATGAGCTAGCCATATAGACCAAAAAAAACTAGTTCAGAAATGATGGCTAGCTACAGCTTTAAAAACAAAAGAGACATGGACAAAGGAAGATGTTCCCATATCTTCTCAAAAAGAAGACAAGTTATGACCCCATCAGCCTCAAAACTAGCAAAAATTGGTTAACCAAAACTAAAAAAGCCTGGCAATAGACTACAATTTTCTACATTGAAAATCTTGGTATACATTAGAAGGTCTGTATAGAGAAAACTGTATGAAAAGCACACAAGCTAAATCTGATGTTTTTGGCACTCCTGGCATGCCCTGGCCAGCTATTAACATGCATAGGATTGCACCCTTTGCCGTGCGATCCAGAAGAAACGGGAGAGGATTTGTCAGAGTTTTCTAAGTGTCCCCTGGCATGTCCTTGAGATTTTCAGTGAGCAGAACCTGCACCAGTGGCCCCAAGAGAGCTCCAAGTGAGAAAACGAACACCTGCTCAAAAATCCTGGCTGTAAAGCGGGGCAACATGATCACCAAACAAGTAACAGCAGATGCCGAATCCCCATGAAATCATGCCCCTCCTTTGAATCTATTATAAAATAATGCCGCTACCTCACCTCACTCCACGCAGAAATAACCCATTGGAGCCGGTCATTTTTCGGGCATCGTCCCAACACACAAGTCTGCTGCGTTTCTGGCTTTGCCTCACTGTTGCACATAACGTCCGGCAGGATTTTCAGGGAGGAAGGCCCCCCACTTTGGCAGGAAACATCACGTTTTGCAGTGCCTCTTCCACACGTCTTGGAACACTTTATAGGAATGGGGAAAAGGCTGAGGTTAGAGAATTCATGTTGACACTTAACGTCACGGAAGGACAATGAACTGGATAGGCCTCCATTCCCCCCTGGGTCATTCATACCCCCCTTCTCTGAATCGAACACGAAGCAATGCATAAGGGATTCCTGGGGACTTTGCTTCTGGTCTTGCTTAGCTTCAGCATGTTGGTTGCATCGTGTCCCACTGCACCATGCTCAGGCCATGTTTAGGTGTCATTTTCAGGATGCATGTGACCATCTTGCATCCTTGGCCATCAGCCGAGACTGGCAAATGCCTTAGGCTCAGTTGAAAACCTCTCTTCTTGACTATGCTAACTCCCTGGGTAGGTTATGACACTGTGTCATACTTTGGAAGATGGCTCAGCAAAGAGATTTGCTTGGTTCCTTTTCCATGTCCAAGGCTTCTGTCTCCAGGCACTTGCTGGAATACCTTCCCGAAAGAAGGGCATGTGCCCGTGTGCACTGAGATTTTTCCAAAGCCTTGGTGCTGCCAACTATACCTCTGACTGCAGTTTTTGGCTATACCATGACACTGGGGTGCCTGGAATTATCGAAAAAGAAGACGATGCCTGTCATTTGTCTCCATAAATGCTTGCTTTGGAAAATGAATTTAGGTGTACTGATGCTAATAATACCTTTCTTTGTCTATTGTAATCACACTTTCCTTCTTTAGTCCACTACTACTGAATAGTTTACTTCATAATCCGGTGTACCACCAGTTCCTTTCAGAAGTGTATTTCTATTTGTCTACCGAGTATATAAAATGGGCTATATGTAATGGCCCCATCTTCAACATTAATGTTCCTTCTGGGTCTTCCTCGCATGGGGAGCCAGGTTGCACACACTTCTACATTGGCGAGGCAGAACCAACAGGCAGGCAGACATTAGGCAAATTATCTGCAAGCTTGCCTACCTCCTTCCCATGTGGCCAGGCACTTCTAAATAGGCGCCCTTAAAGCCATCCCAGTAGTGGCTTCATTGTTCAACGGTGAAAACATGCATTATGCTGTCATTCAGGCGAGTTTGTATTCAGGCGAGTTTGCATTCTCTGAATGCAATCCCTATCATGCCCCTGCAGCTTAGCCAATATGATCCATTAGGGATCTTCATATGTCCCTCTCTGTGCAAGGCCGTGACAGCTGTTTCTGTTAATTACCTGAGACCATGGGCCAGGACTCCATTCGGGTGGGCAGTCTTGGCTATTGCATGCCTGTATTTGTGCCGGAGTAGTTACTGGGCAAAGAGCATGGGCTACAATCTCCTCCTCCCGAAAAGCCTTTTTCTGGACGCACTGGATCTGACGGCTTTGCTGTCCTCCACCACAGGGCTGGCTGCAAACACTCCATTCACCTGCTAACCAACTTCAAGAAAACCTGCACTTACTGGCTACAGCCACCCAAGAAGTAGACAATGAATTCCAAACAGGTGAAGTCTATACATCAACTATGGTTATAGTTAGTGAAATATTCCATTAAGTACTCATAAAGTGGGAGCAGTTTGCTAGACACAACTTGGTTTGAAGTACATATTCTCTCCTGGTTACTATAACCTAAAAGGATGTAAAGGATGTAGACATAAGCACTGAAAGAAAAGCTATCAGAACAGGACAGGCAAACCGACAGATGTTTGATTGTCATTCTCTAGCCATTCAGACCTATGCCCATGTAGTTTATACCAGCTTCCTCCAATCTGGTGCCCCTCATGTGTCATCAAACTGAGCCAACATAGCCAATAGTCAGGAATGACAGGAGGTGGGAGGCATTGAGATTGGAACAGCTGCTTTATCCAAAGCAGGTCAAGTATTTGTTGTTTCCAATTTAAATAGTTATGTATCCATCTATGCTGGGGATCATCTCTCTCGTGTGGCTTGATATTGGTGCTTTTCCCACAGCACAGATACACATACACCCCACACATGTGTACACACACACACATTTATTCTTTTCCCTAGTTTGTTCTGAATTGTGTAAAAATTGCAAGGCTTGAATACAACTTTGGGTTCTGTACATTGTTTGGGTTTCAGGCTCTGCAAATTAAGTTCAAAGGGCTGATTCTTAATACTGCTGCGAGGGTGTCTCCTACAGCAACACTCTGCCTACTAGAAATGATACTGCAGTCTACATGACTCAGTTTACCTGCCATGTGCTGCAGTCACATTTGCTGTGAATCCAAAAGACTAGCTGGATGTCTTTTGGTGACCTCCTTGGTTTACCTCTGGCAACCTGCCCTCTAATCCCCAGGCCCAGTGGCTACCAGCTGCCGTTGGTTTAGAGTGCCACCCAATGATGTTCCCAGACTTAACTATCTCTGGTTCTCAATCCAACACCACATCTCTCCACATCTTTGGCTCAAGTTTCAAACAGAGGAAGAAAAAATAGCTTGCTAAATTCAGCAACCCTGTTATTACTGTATGGAAAATGTAGGAGCTGCCCACTGGCAGATGATTAGAAAACATCTGCATGAAGAAGGGCAGTGAATTAATCAACTGACCGCTGGCAGACAAACATTACCCTCAGGACATGCCAGAGACTTCAGAGATTTGGCAGAACCCTTTGCCATCCCCCAAGCAAATGCGCTTGTTAACCTAAGAATGTCAGGCTGCACATCAAGCAGATTCCTTTGCCCAGGCCCTGTTGATTCTCGATGGGCAGTTATTTCTTGTACACATGAACTCACTAAACTGTGACTTGCACACTTACTGAAGAATCGCATTACTTAGTTATGCAGGCAGCTATAGGCACAAATCCCCCCCTAAATAGAGATATACAAAATCCCTCTTGAAACGTGTCCCCCTTTTCACACACATGCTAACTAAGGTGACTGCCAACATTTTGCCCACGAGAAAAGTTCACAGCTAATTTAGGGGATTCTACCTTGTTGAAACATCTGAGAGATTTCATGGAAGCTAAAAGAGTTTCACTAACTAGCACTGCTTCTATTCCCAGTGGGAGAAAAACTTCCATGTGTACCAATGGGGCCCTTCCTGCCATCATGAAGAGCAGAGACCCCACACTCAAATTCCAATAGGCACAATCACCACATGGCAGCAAACTATAGATTGGCCCGAATCTTGAAACTGTGGGGAACATGAGTTCCTCTTGTGCATTAATCGTGTGATTAATAGCACTCCTGCTTCAGTTCCCCATAAACTGCTGCACAGAGATACACTGCTTCTGATAACAGAGCTGGCATTTAGCCACCAGGACTAGAAGCCATTGATAGCCTTCTCCCCTATGCTTTCGTCCAATCTCCTTTTAATCTCCAAGCTGATAGCCATCACTATTTCACAGAACTCAAGTCCACAGTTTAACTATGAGCTGCATGAAGAAGTACCTCCTTTTATCTGTCCTGAATCTTCCTGCAATCAGCTTCATGAGACAATCGTGAGTTCTACTATTATGGGAGAGGAAGAAAAATGTCTCCTTCTCAACATTCTCCACACCATGAATGTCTCTCCTCATTTCCTTCTTTTCTCTTAAGCTCAACAGCCTCAGCTTTTATAGCCTTTCCCCAAATGAGTCGCTCCAACCCCTTTCAGTCACCTCTTTGTACTTCTTCCAACTCTACAATCATTTGGAGGAGGTGCCCCTGTCATCAGGCTCCACCAGGCAGGCAGCTGAAAATGCAGAGCCATCTTATTCCGTGTCGTCCTCACTGAATTTCCAGTGGAGTGGGCATGTTGAAGCAAAGCTACAGAACAAGTCCCCCAATGCTTATCGTGCCATAATAAAACTTTCCTGAAGATTGTAAAGCCTTTAAAGTGTCTCAGGATTTTTGCTGTTGTTGTTGTTCTTGCTTATTTGTTCTGTTTTTCATACTGAACAGGAAGTGAAGAAGAGACATTGGTACGCTTTTGTTCCTTGGTGCCAAAACTGATTGGCGTCGGGGACTAATGTAAACCTCATTTACTCAGGCTGTGGGAGAGGGTGGAGGGAAAAGGGTGTCACTTCGGACCTGGGTGCCTTGACTCTGCCCCTTGAGCATCTATGTGCTGAAGGGGGGAGCAGAACTTCCCAAAGAAAACCTTGGGCATGTACAGGGTCCTGATGCAAACAGGAGAGGGTTTCTGCTGGAGGGGGTCCTAGTAAAAGACTTCAGATGGAACCTTTCGCATCTACACACTCAGCATCAAAGTGCAGGCAGAGCTTCCACACCCCAGCAAACACGGCAACTTGTGTGGCTTTTCACCAATTAAAATAAATGCTATGTTTTAGAAGCTGCCAGCCACAATTAAAAGACAAATACAAATAACCTGCAGAAAGCTGAAAAAAACATAAAGGAAGGCTTTTCTGTCTGCAAGTACCAGAGCCCATGGGTACAGAAATAAATGTCTGGCAGAAGATTAATCACATGCAAATAGATTATTTGGCTAGGGAAATTACTTCAAATTAGTTAGCAGACAATGGCGTGGCTCAAGGCAATGCAATGAAATTGCCGAAACTGTCACATGATATGTTACCCCAATTAAACCTTATCTCTGCCTTCCTGTGGTTCCATTATGATTTCCTTCTGGATTTAGGCACTACGTGTGTGTGCATGTGGTGTGTTTGTACAAGTGATACTTGTATATACAGAGACAAGGAGATAAACGCAGGGAGCCAGACACTTTTGCATAAAACTCTGGGCTATTGGTGAAATCTACTCGGATACGTCAAGTGCGCTGCCTGCTGTGGACTGCGTGCCTGCACAGAGGGATCTGGGTCTTTCCCCTCCATTTAAGGCCGGCACTAACCATGGTTTGTGCATAAGTTTGCTCCCAGAACATGGCAGACTTGAAATGGTGGCACAAGTCTTTCTATCTCCTTTTTAATTTCTGGTCTTACAGCCTGGTCCTATTATTCAGCTGGGCTTATTCCCCGGACACATGAGCTTTTTCAGGAAGAAGCCATCAAAGCCCTTGGAGTGAAGAGCCATGTTTCAGAGGGCCCTTGTAAAACATCCTCAACAAGTTTCATGCCTTAGTGAGTCCACCTGCTTTCCACCATTCCCGCCAGTTGCTATTGTTCCTCCGGAGACCCCTGCTCAATGGCTTTTGCATGACTGCCAGTGTGGTGAAGTGCTTAAGAACACTGCACTGAGATTCAGGCAATCTGGTCCAGTCCCTGCTCAGCCATGGAGCTCACTGGGCGACTTTGGGCTGGTCACAGACTCTCAGCCCAACAGACCTTGCAGGGCTGTTGCTGTGGAGAGTTTGAGAGCAGGAGGAAGAGAACGATGTAAGCTGCTTTGAGTTCTTAAAAAAGAAAAAAAGATGGGATATAAATCTCATTAATAAAATATAATTAGAAGAAAAATGCTAAAAGAAAGCACCAACATCCTATCTCCAACCTTTAAGAAGGAGTAGCAGAGAAGGGGACCCACACTGTTATCTCTAGCCACAGATCCCGGCCCAGCCCCCTAGGAGAATCCAAAAATGCTTCGCAGTCCACAGCTGCAATAGTCCATGATTCCCTGTCCCTGAAAACCTATGGAAACATGGCCTCCCTCATTTTATCTGAATGGGCTTCACCCAGCTTAATGGTTCTGCTGCCCTTTGGCTCTGTTGCAAACACTTGAGCATGGAGACGCTCACTCTGTGCTTAGTCCATCCATATTTCACATTTGAGCTCTTCAGAGTTTCTTACTGGGTATCCAGAAACAGGAGTCCTAGCAGGGGAGGGGAAACTTCGTTCTCCATAGTTGTGCATGTAGAACACAACAGAACAGCGGCTCAGAAAGAGAGAGAGAGGCAGGACTAAATCTGCCACACTTACTAGGCTGGGCAAGGGCTCGTATTGCATATCTTTGTTTCTGTTAAGGGCTTTGTCCTTGGGCCACAGAAAGAGGAATTGACTTGGGTACGATGATCTTGTAAACATACAGCTTTTGCTATCAGGTGTCCTGCAAGAAATAAAATAAACAGCTCTTAAAAGGTGCTATTAGGGAAGTTCAATATCTATCACAGAACTGTAAAAAGTGACTGACATGGTCTTGCGGGGCATCATCCACCTTCGTCTGGCGGTCCTCCACCATCCCTGCCAAGACCATCTGGGAGAAGCAGAATGCTTCACCTCATGCTGAAACATAAAGGAAGGGGACATTGCCCAGCTAGACGCAGCTGGCTACTGTGCTCCAGGCCTGCGGATCTAATTTTGGCAGCAGCCAAAAGCAACCGCAGCAGTTCTCTGACATTTCCAGCCTTTTCCTACAGAATGAATGTGAATGGTTGGGGGCGTAGGGTGTTTGGTGAGCTGTCTCTAATATCACAAGTCTTTTATGATTCCAGTATATGCTGAGATCCTCTGATAGTTAGGTTGCATCTAAATTTAACAAACAAACAAACTATCCAGAAAATTCTGCCATGTTTTAGCAGCAATATATATTTGAGATATATTATAGAGGGGGAAAACTTGGCCGATAAAATCACTTTTTTTCAAAAGGAATTCAGAAACAGAGGACTGATATAAGCAAAATAAAAGATTGGGCTCTATTGTCCAGACCTTTGTACATTCTTAATGGAATGTTTGTGACAGACTTTGAATCTTAGGAGTTCTTCAGTGGGTTTTATATTGTAGCATAAGTTAGCAACTTATGGCCAGTTGTATGGCTGAATATTACTATATTCACTTTATTCTATCTCAGTTGTTTCTGTAACTATTGATGTTACATTCACATGCCTGCAATAAAAGTATGTTTTTTAGTATGTATGTCTTTTTTCAGTTTTGTAATCAATTTTGCAAATCCCCAATTTTAAAAAAAGAGAATGAATTAGTTCAAAATCTATACCAATGAGTTAATTGCTCATTAGTGGTTAACATGAGAAGGATAAAAATCAGTATGACAATATTGATAAAATATTAAATTGGAAAATACAAGTTCATTGCCAGAAATCTTCATGTCATTAATGGAAGATTTATAATTTTCAGGTTTCTCCAAAGTTCAACTTTACTATTAAGCAAATTGAGTTAGTTGCCTCCAACAGCTAATTTTTGGTATCATGAAAAGGCAGGAAATTTTTATTAATTATTTTATTGTTGTTGTATTTTTTCTGCCAAAGAAGGGGAGAATTAGTGCAAGGCTTTCTGCCAAAATGATTTTATCCAGCTACAAGTACCATGAATTATACCGTGACTTGAAGGCAGGCAGGGAAACAGTCCCTGCGAAACACCTTGGGCCACCCCGACTCCCTCTCAGGAATCAATTACTTATGGCCATTAATGATTGGCTGTAAATTTTCATTGCTTCTACAGCATGATTTACAGTAACTCTCACAAAAAAAATTTTTTTTGGCAATTCAGAGCAAATTTGTGCAGTCTGAACAATTCATATAGATATACACAATTTATATGAACCGGAAGCTAGAAACTTGTTATTTTTTGTTATGATTTGATTATGTAAACTGTCCAGAAAGCCATGAAGCTATTGCAAAGGTATGCAAGAGTGTTAAGTAAATAAATAAATTACATAGCTGTAGTGTAATTTATGCAATTTTTTCTTTATGCAATTTTTTGCAAATTATGCCGTTTTCAGCTTCCAGATAGCACAATTTTTGAAGCTGTCAAGAGACTTTTAGTATTGGGATGGCATATAAAAACTTTAAGTAAATAAATACAATTATTTCTGAACATTTTCTCAGTATTTGAAAAAGTATGCCAAGCACCTTCTGTCTTGCAGGAGTAACAGTCAGGGTTATGATTAGAGTGGATATCTATGATGATGTTGATGGGGCAGAGACACTCCTAAAGGTCAACTACTAGAAGCAGCAGCAGCTCAAGGTGACACTGGTGGAAGATCTTTCACAGACAACAGCAATGATGATGCTCAAGGGAACTCTTGCTAGTGTTCCATATAAAGCAGCAATGGTAAATTTGAATTTTCTTGTCTTGAAAATCCTATGATGGAACAATCCAAAAACAGGAGATAGTGCCAGATGATGAGACTCCCAGGTCAGAAGGCACTCAACTGGCTATTGCAAAAGACCAAAGGAAAAATACGAATAGCACAGTCGTTGATGGCATAGATCAAAGATCAATGTATAAAGGGAGTCTTATGGCCGACAAGCACAGTACTTGGTCTGAAAGAATCAAAGTGGACTGGAATGAGACATGTTTAGTCAGAAAAACACCAAGTGCTTATTCTAGAAATGACAGACGCAAAAGAAACGTGTGCAAGATGTAGCATGGGCAGGAAGGAACTATAATGCAAAGTCTGACTAAATTTTACCAATCAGAGTTCTTAGGAAACCTATCAATATGACCAACATTCAAGTCTGCACTTCAATAACTTATTCTGTATTTTTTCTGCTGTAACCTGGCCAGATAGCCTTATGGCTAATGGGACAGGCTAGAAATTTAATAAATGAATGCTGAAAAAGCAGTTTTATATGGGCATTCAAGAGAAAATTGATAACACATCAAAACAGAACATGCTGATAATCACAGGTGACTGGAACACAAAGCAGGAAACAAAGCAAAAACAAATGGTGTGGGAAAACCTAGGGGTCAGAACAATCTGTTTATCATAAATAAGCACTTCGGATGTCTTCAACTGATCAGATATCTCTACACATGGACATAAGAAATTTGTGCAGAATCTCCGTTGGGAGTGGAAGTGGGAATCTGTCAGATTCCCTGGGTTTGGCTTCCTGGTTTCTGGACTGCTTTTCTTGCAGCTGTGAGTCCAACTTCTTGACAAGCACACCAAGAGTTTGTATGGTGCTCACCAGAAATGAAGGCCCAAGTGAAAGTTGTACAAGCAGGATCCTTCTTCCATGTGCATGACTTTGTTTGTGTTGCACATAACACAGAGGAAGATTGCCAGTTGTAGAACCAGAGTTTTGCAAGCTTTTGCAGACTTCCTCAGATCAGCTCACCTTCTGAGACAGGGCTGTTCATGACAGGAAGTCTGTGAACTGAGGAGGGATGGATTCCAGGGAGCTTTGTCACAACACTAGTAGACATCACCAGGTGGCCAACACAAAAATCAAACAGATTGTGTAATTGGAAATAAGAGATGGAGAAGTCATATTCTCACAGCCAAAACAACACCAGAGACATATTGTGGTAGTTACCATGAACTCTTATATCAAAAATCAGAAAAGATCACTAGCAGAAATATAGTGCCAAAAGGAGGGGGAAAGAAAATGTTAGCATTCCTGAGGAATTTGAAATCCACATAAAGGACATATTTGTTTTATTTGTATATTTGTATTAATTAGCCATGACCCAGAAGTCTGGAAGCAGAGACATTATCAGGGAAGAATGCCAACAGACAAGTCATGCAATGAAAGACTTGGATGGAAGACAGAAGATGCACAATTGCTAAGGACAGGTGAGGAGCAAAAGCAAATGGTGAAGGGAAAAGGGTCTGAATCCTAAAAGCGACTTTTCAGCAGAGCAAAAAGAAATATTGCAATGGTCACTGCAAAGAGATAAAAGAAAACAAGAAAAGAGAAAAAAAGAAGAGGCCTGTTCCAGAAGACCAAGAAATTAAAGCGAGATTCAAACCTTGATTAGGAAGGCTGAAAGACCAACAGAAGGAAATACTAGACTAGATAAAATAGAGAAGGTGGAAAGAATTGTGGAAGAGATAAAAGGATGAAAAACTCCTTCAAAGAGGAATTGAATGAGGAAGAATCTGCAATATTAGAAAGCAAGTGAGAGCTGTTCTGAAAGCACTTGGAAGGCATAAATCATCCAGAGTAGATAAGGTAGCGATAAACCAATTCCAAGCAGCAGAGACTGAATCAGTAATAATCCTAACAAGAATATGCCAACAAATATGGAAAATATGGAAAACATAACAGTGACTCACAAATTAGAAACCATCAATATACATTCTAATAATCAAGAAAGGATTTACAAAGTGCAGCAACCGTAGGACCATTGCATCAATCTCCCATGCAAACAAAGTGAGGCTCAAGATATTGCAACAAAGAAATTTACCATATATGATATGAAGCAAGAAATGCCTGAAGGTCAAACTGGATTTAAAGAAGGAAGAAGTACTTGAGGTCATATTGCAAATATACACTAGTACCTAGAGTGCACTGAAGCATTTCAGTAAAAGATCGGTCTATGCTTTATAAGCTACAGCAAAACCTTTCACTGTGTGAATCATGAGAATTTATGGATGGATCTGAAAGAGACAGGAATCCCACAGGCATTTGATATAGCCTATATTGTGGTCAAGAACCTAGACATGAGGAAACAAAATGGTTTCTTACAGGCAAAGGTGTCAGACAAGGATCTATTTCCTCTAACTTCTGTTCAATCCATTTGCAGAACACATCATAAAGCAAGCTGGATCAGGATCAGAGAAAGAAAAGAAAGTGGAAGACACACCAGTAATATAAGAAATGCAGGGGATACCTTATTGTTTTTGTTATTATTAAATTGCATTTATTACTCACCTTTATTCTCTTTTGCAAGGAATCCAAGATAGCCTACTCTACCCTCTACTTGATGTTAATCTTCACAACAAGAACCCTGTGAGGTCTATTAAGCTGGGACTCTATGACTGGCCCAAAGTCACCAGAGATCTTCACTGCTGAATACAGACAAGAACCCAGATCTCCTATATTACTGGCAGAAAGCAGAAATGAATTGAAATGGTTCCTGATGAGAGAAGAAAGTAGAAAAGCAGGACTTCAGCTGAACATTAAGAAAACCAAAATCATGACTACAGAAGAATTACTGAACTTTAATACCAACAGGGAAGAAATTGAAATTGTGAAAGATTTTGCATCCCTTGGCTCAATTATCCCTTGGGAGATTTGAATAAAAAAGACAATTTGAAGATACATCAAAAGAATGGGGTAAAGAAAAAGATAGTAAAATAAATAAAATGATGGAAATTTTTTAACACTGTGAGGGAAAATATATTATACTGGGAAATTAAGCACTAACACTGAAGGGAAATGAAGGAAAATTCAAGGAAGATATCAAGAAAAGTCTACCCTAAAAATAGGGTAGAAAATAAAGCATTAATAATTGAGGAAAATGCTTGAGGAAGTGGGCTTCAAGTTTACATATAGTGTAAAACTGGGAGTAAGAGTACCAAAGGGGAGAAGAAAAGGAGTATTTATGTTATATCTGCAGCTGAAGGAAGTTTGTGGAGTTGGTACTGAATGTACACACAGGATAAATTCTAGTATTTCAAAGCGTGAAAATAATCTCAGGATTATTCCATGAGTTAGTGATGCCACAAAAAAAGGATTGAAAGTGATAAAAATAGAGAGGGAGGGTATTATTTCCAGCTGGATAAACTATCTGGATGAACTAATCCCAAACAAAACAAAATGTGAAATTCTCATTAATAATTTCTCATATATGCACTTATTTATTTCTATACTGCCATGCAGTAGAAGCTCTCTAGGCAGTTTACCCAGTCCATGAAACAGATGATAAAAGTACAATAATATCAGAAAAAATAAATGTTTAAAACAGCTAAAAACAGATTTAAAAACAGACAATAAAAAGGAATACTAAGAGACTTATACATTAACTACAAATATTTTAAGTTGAATATTTGTGTGAGCACTTATTGTAATGGGATATTATAAGGAGAGCAGTAGAAGCCCGACAATTCATGGGCTGCATGGTGAAAACACTATCAACGGTCATCAGCAAAGCCACCTTTGACAAATGCTTGCCACCAAGGACTTCCAAACATCATCTGTTCTACCATGTGGTGAAGTCTTTAAAAGACATTTCAGGACATTGATGTCTGGGCGAGTGATACATCCGCCTGTCTTCTTGGACCATCTGCTTTTTGCCGTGCCATCAGAGGCCTTTGTAAAAGTAAGCAGGAAAGTCTACATGGCTTATACAGATAAAAGGAAATGGATGTAACATTTCATTATATATTAGCAATATTGGTTAAATATTGTTGGAATATGATAAATAAACGAAGTGAGGTTTTTAGCTGAAACATGAATGAGGCTTAAACCAAAATATTGAAATTAAATATATAGGTGAAAATTGAAATAGTTAGAGTGGGACTTTTAATACTCCTTTTAATATTGAGGAATCAAACTCACTTGCAAGCATTCTAAAACAGTAGACCATGCCTATTTCAAACGTGAGCCATTATTTTTTTATGAGCAGGGTAATACTCAGCATGTAGAAATAATGGAGTTGGAGAGAAAGTTTCTTGTCTGCCTTGCACAACTCCACGCCCACTGCTGGAAATTGAGCATAGCCTCTCCAACAGAAGACCCCCACCCCTGTGAGAAAGGACATTCCATCATCCAACGGATCTTGTCCTCCAGAACTTGGAGGGACGGGTATGTCAGGATCCACAGTCCTCAGACAGCTCCAGCGGCTGGCATGATGCTGAAGACCACTGCAGCCCACCCACAAGGCCAGGAGCAACCTGAGGGGAACTTGCCAGGAACAGAGCAGGTGCAACCACGCCACACAGCTGAGAATCTTGGAAGGCTCTCTGAAAGGTTCTCCTGCAGCACCGGTCGCATTGGATATACGTACTGTGCTTTTGATCCTATTTCTAGCCTCCCCCTCAATCACATCTCTCTTCTACCGGCTCTTGCTTCCACCCTTGTCTTCAGCTTGACGGTGCATAGGCAGGTACCTGTCTCTTGCCCTCCCTGACCCCACCCTGCCCCTGTCCCTGCTTTGCCTTTCTGGCATCTGCCCCCAGTTTGCCCCTGGACCTCGCCTTGGCCTCTGGCTCTGCTCTGCCTTCTTGGTACCTGCTCCTGCCTGCTCCTGACCTTCTCTTCACTTCTGGTTCTGCCACACGTCATGAGTATCGGGTCTATCCTTGACTCTGCCTTTGCTTCCAGCCCTGCCATACCTTCTTGGTATTTGGCCTTGCTTGCTCCTGGTTCTGCCCGTGCCTTTGGACTTGCCTTGCTCAGTCTCTGACCTCACCCTGTGTTGGGACTTGACTTTGCCTCCCACCCATTAGCCCTTGCAAAGAACTGATGAAGCACCCTGGTTCTAGCCAGGGCTGCCTGGACCTGGCAGTGTGCGTGCAAATAAAAAATGGAACAGCACGTTTGTGAAAGACCAGCACTTCTGAGCAGGAGACTCACCCCCTCCACATGAGACGGAACAATCTGACTGGACTGTTACCCAGGAGTAGCTGTGTCTTTTTGTGAATATCTTGTTCTCATTGTTCATCTTAGAGAAGGTATACTGCCAGGCGATGCCCGGGTTTTTTCCTTGCAGCAGGATCTAAACGGCATGGAGAGGAAATAGTGTTATTAAGCCAGGGGCAAAACACTTATGTGATTAAAGGTCTCACAAAAGCCCTGAGTTGTTCCGGAAATCTAAACTGGAGCAGGTGATCCTGAAAAATAAGCAGTGTCATGACATGACAAAAAGAACATTTAATCAACACATTTAAGGGCAGAGATTTTCACGATTCAGGAAAAAGTACATATTGAGGGGCAAAAAGAAGAAAACAAGTCATGAAAATGCTTAACAGAAAATTGCATAAACTCCCCCCCCCCAAAAAAAAGAGTCATGGATCATTCCCTATTCACTATTGCATAGAAGAGTGTGTTGGTTGCAGTCTTAGGCTTGGAGGATTGGGAAGGATGATATATTGTCCGCTCCCATGAGCCAGATTCTATTTCAGTCCACAGATTCTGGTAAAGATCCAACCCGGAAATATATGACCTAGTCCAGCAATATATATCCCATCCAGCAGAATTAATAGCTTGGCTTTCTGTTTTATTGCAAGACCCAGGTCTGAGAAACACCTAATAGCAGGCAAATGTAAAATAATGTGTGGGATTTTATGGAGAACAGAGGTGTAATCAGCTCCTCTTTTGCACCCACACACAGACAGCAAGCACATGCATCCCGTGTGCATGCGAGAGACAGAAAAAATAAGAATATTTAATAATGCATTGTAAAGGAATTCAACGCTTATTTCATTACCATCCCTGCTTGAAGAATATTTATTGGATCCAGCAAGTGAAGTACCTGATTGCACACAACATGATCACGTCCTTGCTTCCGTTCCTTATTGGACTAAGTTTTGACAATAGTTTACCAGAGTGTTTATTTATTTATAAATAACAAGCACTGAAGCTCTCTGGACAGTGCACAAAAATTGCAGACTACAAATACAAGATAGTAAAGCCCACAGAACCTTCCTTACCTTGTTCAAATAAAAAAAGAAAGAAAGCAAAAGAAAAAGGTTCTGAAAAGTATCAACATGCTAAATATGTAAACCCAAAGAACTGTCCATGATGTGCTGGCAACTCCTGATCTACCCCTTTGAAACTGCAAAACTTGCTTAGCATTGGGTTTGCAACTGGCATGCATTCATGGTTACTGATGAATTTATGAAATGGAAAAATGTCTGCGGAATTAAGCAATGGAAAATTTTCTGCTTCACAATGCTATGAAGGAGAGGGGCATTTCTGGGGTGGCATTCAGTCTTTGGAAAACCCTCCCAAAATTAGGCAAGGCTAGAGTCAACATTGTTTTTCTTTTGACACCAGGTCAAATTGTTTTTATTTGCCAAGGCATTTAAATGTATCGCATTGTTTCAGCTGGTTAAACTTCTTTTGTATGTTACCTCTTGAGTTCTGTACTTTGCTTGGGTTTTAAATTCATCCTTTAATTTTTTTGATATGTGGAATACTTGCACATTCCACCCTGGACCAATATCTGCATCAGGCATTTTTAAATAAATGAATTGCCCTTCCTTCAGATTTTCCTTTCACATCCATTGTACTCTTCCTTCAACTTTCTAACTCTCAACACCCTTAGCTTTCCCACAGTCCAGTGTGACTTTCCATTTCCAGTCAAACTGACAATTTTCCCTTCTCTCACAGAAGCTGGATGGGAATCTGTGATGACCTCAAGACAGGCTAGAACCACAGGTGATGCATAAACCTGGTCACTGTGCAGATATAGAACTTAACTACAGAACTTAAACCATTATCTCTTCCTACAGTAGGAATTGTTTGGTTAAAAATAGTATCTAATATCTGATGGTGAATATTACTGTGTTATTAGAAGTATGCATTTGGAAGGACCTCCAGTGCATCAGTGTACTTAACTGGACATATTCCAGGGCCTTCCAATCCAATTGGCATTTGTTCCCAAATCTACAGCTGGCAAACAACCACTTTAAACATTTCCCGGTCTTCCACAGAACTGTTTAATGTCTACCTTTAACACACACAGCACCTGACTTCAGACACAACACTCAGCAGCTTTGACCACAGGCCGCAGAGTTATAAAATTTACAGCTTTGCGTCTTCAAAAACCACAGGCTAAATGGGTAAGTTTGGCCAGATCTATTTGAAATAATGAGACTTTTGCTTAGGGCAAAAGAAAGTTAAAACAATGGGAAAATTGATCTCTCTTGAGTAAATAGTTATTTTCTATTCCTTCAACTTTTGATTTAAAAGTTAAACCAATAAATATTCTTATCCAGCTATGCATCTATTCTGTTTTGATTCCCCCTCTTCCTTAGGTATTATAGATATGCGTGCAACTTTGTAGGTCGCTTAAGCAATTCCTTTTAAATGTACATCAACAGTTTCTTTAGACCCTCAACTTCCAATGAAGGCCTTAGGTAGTTATTACACATCTGACTATTAGTGGTAATTTGCGATTGATTGCATTGAATAATGATAAACAACTGATAGGTGTTATCCTTGCTACACTAGCAAATATGGAATTCTTCATACCAACGGATTGTGCCCATACTGAACAACATGGTTGTTCTTGCTACCTTTCTGAGGAATGAGATTCCAGCACAAGGTAAGGATGCTGCAGATCTCAGGAAGCCCCTAAAGGACAATTTACCACAAGGCCCTTCACACTTGGAGCAAACCCTACATAGAACAGTAGAAGCCTATAGACTGCATTTTCAACTATTAGATATGGAGCAATGGGGTGGGGGGAGATGCCCCTCCCTTCTTACCAGAAATGCTGATTTATTTCCAGGGGGTGCAGGTATTTATTCAGCAGACAAAAGAGCCAAGGGCAGAAGAATCTTTCACAATGATTATGGGCCATGCTCTGAAAACTAGGCTCAGATGCTTCACTTGACAGGAGAATACTAATCATTACTTGCACGTACAGAATGGTTTCTTGAACTTCAGGACAGGAAAGGCTTATATGCATTGCATTTTCTCAAAGGTATTTTAAAAGCAACCCTTTAAATTGAGATGAAAAACAGGGAGTTCACAGGACCCTTCTAAAAGCCTTGACAAGAAAAGGTAGCCCTTGAAAGGTCCTCCCATGATCTCATCCTTTCTTCAGAAGGCTTATATTTGTCATTAGATGTAGTTTTCACTGTCTCCTTTGTAAACAGCATATGCTAAATGCACCCATTTAAGGGTTCCAGCACATCTAATCTCTTTCACTTAAGCGAAACTCTTTTATCCCTTGCATTAAATTTACATCTGTATCCCATAAGCAAAGCTTTGCTCTGTCCAACACTCACTCCTTTCAGGGGAAATCAGAGCTAATTTATCATCTAGTAGCTAATAATAAAAATAAAGCTTTCGAACTCCATGCCGGCTGTTACTCAGTGGCTGCTAAATGATAGGTAAAGTCCTTCCACCTGGCTTCCTTCCTCTATTTTCCCCGTCAACAAAGAGTAGAGGAAATGATTTATCAATTTCAATTAACCACCTTTTTCTGCTTTGAAGAAAGGCACCTTTTTGTGAGTGACGGTGGGTGTTAAGCGTCTCATCAATCTCTTACTAGCTGTAGTGGCGCTTTAGGGGGATTTCATAATTCCCTTGTTCAGCATGTGTCAGTTTTGTGGAAGGCTGTAATATTTCCATTAATTTTGTCCTGGGACTCACAGAAGCATACAACCCAAGAGTGTCTAAAGATTTAAAGTCTTGGTATTTACAAGTCGGTGTTATTGCTGTGGATGATAATGATTCCTAGAGTCAAGCCATCAAGCCGATATAACAGGTTTAAAATACGTATTGGGTGGGTTCATACAACACTCAATGGCTGAGTGCAGGTTGAAAGTTGGTTAGTGTTGAACCATGGGTTGCTGTTGAAACATGAGTTACCATGTTTTCTGAAATGAGCTGTGCTTTCAAGCCATGCCTTGAACAACCCGTGAAAAGAACCCTGGTTTGTTGTTGAGATGTGAATTGTGGGTTGTTCACCATCATTCATCATCTCCTCGAATGTGGGTTATCATGCTGTCTGAACCCAGCCATTAAGATGACTACCAATATTCTTTCCTTTGCATTTGATTTTACCCATGTTGAACAGGCTGCATTTCTGCAAAGGAAGCAGACATGGGAAAGAGCTTGCTTAAACCTCTCCGCACTGTCATTTCTTGTGCCAAGCTTTTTGTTTAACCACAGGGGAATGATTCTGGGTCTTCACTTCCTCAGCTGAGTAGGCTCTCCCAGACCACACTTCTCCTTTTTGGATGCAGCCTCCCCAAGTTCAGGCAATGATGAACCCACAATAAGGTCTTCCTTGCCCAAACTGATCACCACTCCACAGATCATGGAACAAGTTCTGTAAATTAAGACCAGATGACCTTAAATCACCTATGCCAGAATCCCAACAAAATGTTAGTGTTAAGCATTTAACTGGATTACCTTTTTAAAAAGTTTCCTGCATGTCTCCACTTATGTCCACACAAATGCATTACCAAAACCATATGGTAAAAACTGATACTGATTTACAGTGGCAGATAATCATTGTCCTTTCACATAGCTGTTATTTTGGTCTATTTTCCCCTACAGACACAATCTTCCTTCCTTCCTTCCTTCCTTCCTTCCTTCCTTCCTTCCTTCCTTCCTTCTCAAACTTTGGATCCACTAGAGAAATGCTGTGTTTTGCTTACTTTAGCTTTCACAGACTTTTATAAACTCACAGCAAAGCTTACATAGTGTATGCTTTTGACCTCAGGAAGCATTCACAAACAAAAAGATCCCCATGATTATTGGCTACTTATATTGTTTGCTTATTTGTTTGTTTATATCTGTTCAGTCCCACAGTTGAAGCTCCCTAAACAGCCACTGACTAATTTGCAATTATGGTGGCAGTAATAAAGAAGAGAAATAAATAATCGAAGCCTAAAAGCAGTATCTTATGCATATCTGTTCAGACTTGGGCCTCACTGAAGTCAATGGGATTTGTGCCCAGGTAAGCATGCCTGGGCAGCCTGCATCACCATACCAGTGCTATTGCTGCTGTTGACGGAGCTGTGATTGCCATCATTA